AGTCCTGCCTCTCTCTGCAGGGGGAAGGTCAAGGTCACCACCCAACCCTTCTGCCTCTGCAGTCAGCCGCAACCACATCCCCCACCAGCCGTTGTCCTCCCGCTGGCCAGCCCCCCCTGCTGCTGCTGGGTGCTTCACTTTGGTGCTCCATACAAGTCATTTAAGGCTTCTGCATAGCCCAAGCTCAGCATGAGGCCAGGTAGAGCTTCTTGTCATGGTCAAATCCAGTCTTCCTTGGGTATTGAAACTATAACACACTGAAATACTACATTTTTCTGGCAACAGATGTAACTCCTTGGGGATTTCCTTGAGCAGGGAACCTTCACTCAGCCCCAGCTGCATCAGGGACTGCCTAAACCAGAACTAAAAGCCTCCAGATCCGTCCCTCCAGCTGGTCATCACCTGTGCTTTGGAGAACATGGTGGGGATCTCCGCATCGTTTGGTGCCCTCTGCCGCCGAGCAGAGCTACAGCAGAGCAGCCTCCCTCTGCCACCCAGCCTGGGCACCCAGCGCACCCCGGCTCCAGCACACCCTGGCACCCAGCGCACCCCGGCACCCAGCCTGGGCACCCAGCGCACCCCGGCTCCAGCACACCCTGGCACCCAGCGCACCCCGCCGTGCCCCGCAGGCTCAGCCTGCTCCATCCCCTGTCCTCAGCCGTGGCGGGGATGCAGCAGAGTTGTGTTTCGGGCTCTTTGCAGCTTGGTTTTCAGTTTCCTCAGGGTTCTCTGCTTCTCTTGGAGGCAAAGGGAAGATTTTTCAGGGTCTGGTGTGCCTCCTTCCCTCCGTTTCTCTACCAAGCTTGGAAGTATCCAGGTCAACAACCAGACCATGAGCCTAAGCCTGGCTCCTTTTTGTTCTGCACCCCCTCCAACTCCAGCCTGAGCCTGGCTGTCCCCTGCATCGCTGCCTCTGGAGCCATCCTCATCCTCACCAACACGATGAACCCATCAGGTGCCCTGCAGGGTTTTTCATCTCAGAAACTGTCTCCGCGAAGCCAAATTTTGCATCCTAACAGTGCTTATTTTCCATCCTCCCCCATTGATTTTGTTCTTGACTTTAACGGTGCTAAATATTTGTTCTGAGATTTTTTCTGGTGCTGAATTCCCTGACTTCTTGCTTCTGTGCGTAACGATAAATGCGAAAACTCATCGCCTGTCTGAATGCGCAGGTTTTCACTGGCTCCTGGTGATGGGATCTATTGACAGAAGAATGAGCTTATCCTAAAACTTCTCATTACTTAACAAATTATTTCTTTCGATTGAAAGAAGAGGTCCGTACACAGGACAGATCTGTTTTATGGAAACGGAGCAGGCATTGAGCTGCATCCATTTGCTGCTCTGGGCACGGGAGCTTTAGTTGCTGGTAAATCCACAGCTGTCAGGGAAACCAAGTTACAGAATAAACCAAAGTATATTTCACAGAATCACATATTTCCCTAAACAAGTTACGTTTCACTAAAGCACTGGTCCTGAGCATGAAGCTTTTCCAGTTGTTGTTTTTTGTCTTGTTTTGTTTTTTAAAATACAAATGTCCCCTGCCCAGAAAGAGAACTTCCACGAGAGGCACAGGTTAGTGCTTGCCCTCTGTGCCCAGAGGGGTTTGTGTTATGTCTGAAAGTGCTGCCTGTTTTGCAAAAAAAATAATAAATAAGAAGAAAGAAAGAATTAAATGGATAAACAGCTCTTGAAAAGCTTGTCATTTTTGTTGTTTCTTCTAATATTCCAGCAAAAAAGCACAAAACTTAGCAGCCCCAAAAGCAAGGGAGACCTGGTTGAAGTGAGTTGTGACAGCAAGTCCAGACTTCAGTCCCTGAAGCCCAACTTAGTTGCTCCAAAGGAAGAATTTAGCACTTGACATGTTCCTTTCAGTTTCTCAGATTTTCTGCTCGTTACCAAAATCAGGTTGATGAGCATCGATGCAGAAGGACACCTTGGAGGCATCACCCCACCCTGAGCAGATAAATTCTGCTCAACAAATACCCCACCTTTCCCACAGATAGAGGAAAATCCACCCCAGCATCACCGGGACCTCCATCCCTGCCTGAGAAGAGGGGACACTTACCAGCTGCATTGCTCCTCACCCACCAGGTACCTCCTGTGCTCCGCTGTGGGGCTGCACCAAGGACCATTTCCACCTTCCATCACAACCTCTCTGATGTGGGAGCCACACCAACACATGCCCGTGGCTACCAGCTCTGCAATGCTCCAGCCACCACCTCCTGCAGCCCACATCTACTCCTGCGGACCTCCTACGGTGTTATCTGCCCCAGCAGGGACCATCTGCCAAGCCCAGTAGCTCCTGAGCAGCCTCCTCAGAGGAAGCCCAGGGTCTCAGTCCTTGGAAGGCAAATGCATAGGAAGGGCTCCAGCATGGCACAACCAAGCAAAAACCAAGCAAACCACCAAGCCCCAGCTCTGCATCTCCCTTATGTACCAACAGCAGCTGTTCCTAATATGTGCAGCTGTCTCCATGAAGTGGAGAAACCCCCATGTGCTGCAGATGAAGAGGCTTTTCCTGGCAGAAACAGCCTCCTCCCTGCGTGCAACCACCCAGCGCGTTGGGGGAAAGAAATGCAAACCAACAGCCCATCGCAGTGGTCGCGGGGCAGCTCCCCTGCCGCGCACCCTGCTCCCATAACCTTCTACAAATGGGTGTTTTCCACGCGTAGCGCAGCAAGGACGTGTTTGTGGTGAAGCTGCCCCTTTGCTAGGGCTGCTCCTTATCTGAGCTCGTGTTCATCAAAACGTGCTGCTGCCTCGTGCAGGGCTGGGGCAGCGAGGGAGCGAAGCGTGGAGTAGATGCTGTTGTCTAATCTCCGCTTTCCTTTGTAGCTCACAGCTCTGTGAAGGACACAGGCCAGTGGGGAACACGATGCCAAGGCTCCATGCGCAGTTTTCAGGCTGTGGCCTCCTGCCAGGTCCAGATTTTCCATTTTGAGGGTCAGCCAAGACCTTCTCCTTTCCAGATCCCCCCCACCCCCAAACCAAGCAGATCGCATCTTCTCTTTGCTGAGGGAGAATTAGGTGTTGAATCCCTTTTCTCCCAATGCCAGATCCTATCAGGTTCTTACTCATTTGATTCCACCCAGTGCAATTTAGCATCTGTCCTCAATTCTTTCATTATTCATAGCTGGGGTGAAACTGGTACCGAGGGAGGGAAGGCCGCTCCAGCCCATACGGTACCTCTGGGCAGGCTGGATCCACAGCTCGTTGGTGCAGAGTCTGTCCTTGTTTTCCTCCAAGCGCTGGACAAGGTGACCGTGCCAGCAGCCATGTGTCAAACACGTGGCGCTGTGATGGAGGCTGGGACGCCTGATCCAGCTTCGGACGCCTCTGATGCAGCCCAGCACAAGCGACCTTGGCGTTGTTCAACCAGCAGCATCCTGAGCTGATCTTACCCGCGGCTGGTCCCAGTTTCACACCTCCAGCTGGTCCCAGTTCTGCAGGACAGATGAGGCGGATGAAGCCTCAGCATAAGAAGAATGTGGACCTGTTGGAGCTGGTCTAGAAGAGGTTCATGAAGATGATGATGGGGCTGGAGCACCTCCCCATGAGGACAGGCTGAGAGTTGGGGTTGTTCAGCCTTGGAGAAGAGAAGGCTTTGGGGAGACCTTCTTATTAGTAAAAGGAAGGAAAGATGGGGAGAGGCTCTCTATCATGGATCATAGAGATAGGATGAGGGGTAGCTGCTTTAAACTGGAAGGAGGTAGATTTAGACTAGATATTAGGAAGAAATTCTTTACTGTGAGGGTGCTGAGACACTGGCACATGTTGCCCAGGGACGCGGTGGTTGCCTCCTCTCTGGAAGTGTTCAAGGCCAGGTTGGACAGGGCTTTGGGCAGCCTGGTCTGGTGGGAGGCGTCCCTCTCCATGGCAGGGGTTGGACTGGATGAGCCTTAAGGTCCTTTCCATCCTGAACCATTTTGTGAGTCTAAGCCGGACACCACGCTCTGCCCAGGCTGACCCCAGTCCGGGGATGGGGGATGGAGGCAGGGGGCTGCAGGGATCAGCTCATCTGTGGTGGAGGACCTGGGCTTCCACCTCCCTGCTGGGTACCCAGAAGCCCCAGGGCAGGTGGGCAGAGACTGTGCTGAGCTAATGGGAGCTGCCATCTGCAAGGGACAAAGCTGGTGAGAAACAACTCTGTTTGCCCATTGGCGTAAAATAAAGCAAATTCCCACCAGCATCACTATCGAGCCCCTGGCACTGGTGTTTGGTGGAGCCCCTTGCACCTTGGGTGGGCACCCCAAGGCAGTGTGGGGTGCTCAGGGCAGCGGCGAGGGGCCCCCAGCTGTCCCCAGCTCCCCCCAAGGGACACGCACCCTTGGGCAACGGCTGCAGGAGGGGCGTGAGGCTGCAACCACCAGGATCAAATCTTCCAGCAAGGGGCTATGGGGGACCAGGGGACCTCAAAGCACCCATGCTCCTGTGCCAAACCCCTGCAGACAGAAACTCTGCTCTTTGCAGCGGGACGAAGACAGTCCCAAGGAGCCCCAGGACCCCTTCATGCCACAGCTCCCCCTGGGGCTAAGGAAAATCAGCAGTGGTTACCTGGGCCAGCTAAAGCCAAGTGGAAAATAAGTGCTTTTATCTAATGGCGCATGATTCACGCTGTGGTTTCTCAGCCACAGCCACGTTATCGGCTTGCATAACGCCCAGGCAGTCAGATGGAGGGGGAAGAAACACCATGAAATGACCCCAGCCAGCCCTCTGTCCCCTAGTGCCTCCCCCGTGGGGTGCAGAGTAACCAGAGGGTGCTTTTCTCCCGGTCCCAGCCTGTGCCCTGGCATCTGACCCCAGCACAGGTGGAAAGCCATCAGCTTGACTTTCCCCGTCTTCTGTAAGGACATTGTGATAACTCCCCTGCCGGAGTCGTTTGTCTTTCTTATCAGAGACGTCAGCCAAACAAGCGTGGCCGGGATATAAGGAGCTGGGCTTGCACCGGTGGCACACTTGGTGCGTCCCTTCGCCTTGGTCGCTTACCGTCAGTAGCCAGCATGAAGCTGCTCCTGCTCCTCGGCCTGGTGGCCCTGGCCCAATGCGCTATCCACAGGTGAGCACCGGGATGTTGGGGTGCCCAGGATCCCCATCGTGGGTGCTGGGGAGAGGTAAGCAGGGCAAATGCCCGGCTCCCAGCGTGCAGCAGGGACGGGGGGACAACCTGCAGCCCTCCATTGCCGTGGCCAAGGCTTCCTGCAGCGAGGATGCCCCCTGGGTCCCACACAAGGGGTTGGGGGATGAGGGCACCTGCAGCCCCTCAAGGCATGGCCCTGCCTGGCTCCTGGTGACGGATCGGTTCCCCTCTCGCTGCGCCCCAGGATCCCCCTGCAGAAAGGGAAGTCCCTGCGGCAGAAGCTGAAGGAGCAAGGCTTGCTGGAGAGCTACCTGCGGCAGCACCCCTACAACCTGGCCACCAAGTACTTCCCCAGACGTGTCGCTTCCGAGCCCCTGGAGAACTACCTGGATGTGAGCATGGTGGTGCAGGGGGGCTGCCACCCCTGGGGCAGCCCATGGGGCCACTGGCTGCTTACCCATCCTTCTAATCCCTTTCCCATCCCGCTAGCCCCTTACCCATCCTGCTAGCCCCTTCCTCATCCCGCTAGCCCCTTTCCCATCCCACTAATCCCTTTCCCACTCCGCCTCGACAGGATGAGTACTACGGCACCATCTATATCGGCACCCCACCCCAGGAGTTCACTGTTGTCTTTGACACCGGCTCCTCCAACCTGTGGGTGCCCTCCGTGTACTGCTCCAGCAAGGCTTGCAGTAGGTGTCTGGCAGCCCCTGCCCTGCCTGGCTCTGAGGACATCCTTGGTCCCTAGGGACAGGACAGACCATGACTGTCCCCCTTCTGTACCCACAGACGTCCACAAACGCTTCAACCCAGTGGACTCCTCCACCTTCATCGGCACCAATGAGACCCTCTACATCGCCTACGGCACTGGCAGCATGACCGGCGTCCTGGGCTACGACACCGTCAGCGTAAGGCGGGGAGCACCAGCCCTAGGGAAGCAGGGACACCGGGGCACCACCTGCCCAAACCAATCCCTCCTCCTCCTCCCTCTCCCCATCTTCCTGACCAGGTTGCAGGCATCGATGTCATCAATCAAATCTTTGGGCTGGCTGAAACCGAGCCCGGCGATTTCTTCTACTACACCCCCTTCGACGGTATCCTGGGGCTGGCTTTCCCAAGCATCGCCTCCTCTGGAGCCACCCCTGTCTTTGACAACATGATGATGGAGCACCTCGTGGACAAGGACCTCTTCTCTGTCTACCTGAGCAGGTACCCCTGGCCAGAGCCACCCAGCTCTTGCCAAGGATTTTCTCCGGTTTCCTTCCCACCGGGGCTGGCTCCGGCACTGTTCCCCAGTGGCGTGACGCCCCGTGGCTCCTGGGAGATGTGGTTCACTGTTGCCGGCACCGGCAGAGCAGGATGGCAGCAAAGCCTTCCTTGGTGATGGCATCGCCAGCAGAGCAGTGGTGGCGGGATGGGACCTCCACCTGACGGCTCCTCCCTTAGGGCAGGGGGGGCCGGATGGGACCTCCACCTGACGGCTCCTCCCTTGCAGGGACGGGAAGAGTGGCAGCTTTGTCCTCTTTGGCGCCATCGATCATTCCTACACCATCAATGGCATCAACTGGATCCCCCTCTCTGCTGAAACCTACTGGCAGATCACCATGAGCAGGTACTTCTGGTGCAGCCCCCAGGTTCAGTGGCTTCCCTTCCCCCACAGCCAGTGTTTTGGGAGGTGCAGCCCCTCATCCCGTGCACGGGAAGCTTCACCCCCACACCTCTCTCCCCAGCGTCACCATCAACGGGGAGCGCGCCGCCTGCATTCTCGGCTGCCAGGCCATCGTGGACACCGGCACCTCGCTGCTGGCCATGCCCAACAGAGCCCTCAACTCCATCCTGAGGTCCCTTGGTATCGGGTCCAATGGCGAGGTGAGGCCCCAGGGCTTTGGGGACCTCTGGGGCTCTGCAGTGTGCCCAGCTGGACCCCAGGGCTGCTCCATGGTGCACTGGTCCCCATCGCTCCGTGGGGCACATGGTCCCTCTCGGGGTGTCTGCTGACCCCCACCTGCTGCCGTGTCCCCCCCCCAGGTGAGCTGCAGTGATGTCAACAGTCTGCCCGACGTCGTCTTCCACATCCACGGCAAAGCCTTCTCAGTGCCGCCCAGCGCCTACGTGATAGAGGTGAGCATCCTATGGGGGAGGGGACTGGGGGGCTTGGGGGGTGGTCTGGGACATTGTAGCCACCATCTGCCATGTCCTTGGCTCTAGGACAGCGGATACTGCAGCGTCGGCTTTCAAGGCATGGACGCCCCCACCGAGTCAGGCGAGCTCTGGATCCTGGGGGACGTCTTCATCCGCGAGTACTACGTGATCTTCGACAGGGCCACCAACAAGGTGGGGCTGTCCCGGCTGCCCTGAGCACACCTCCGTGCCGGGGACTTTTAGCACGTCCCGCTGCCCTGGTGGCCCCAGCCTGGTGGCTAGCAGGGCTGGCCCTTGCCCAGCGCTCCCATCCCCTCCTGTCACCCCTCCGAGCACAATAAAGCAGTGGAGAAGCCCCTCTGTGCCACAGCTTTCTGGGAAGGGCTGGCTCAGCCGCTACGGCCCTGCCTCTGTGTCCCTGGGCATGGACATCTGTGGGTGGGCAGACAGGTGCGCCATGTAAAGGTGTCCCTGCTTTCCATCTCCATGGGGCATACCACGGTCCCATCCTGGTGCTGGGGGTGCTTTGTACAGCTGATCACCAGCTCTCCTCACTGGGCGCTGCCTGGAGAACCCCCATGAAGCTCCCAGGAGCCATGGATCTGGCCACTCGCCCCAAAACCCTCCTCCAGGGAAAGCCCCATGGCTGGGCTCAGCATCCCAGTGGGTGCAAGCAGGAGTAGGGGGACGGGGCATAAATACCAGGGTGACTTTATTGGTGGCAGGGAGGGCAGCTCGCCCCATCCCCACACCAGGAGCTGGCGGTAGCACCTACCCCAGGGGTGCGTGCTGTCTTTGGGGGCTGGCACGGGGCACCCCAGCCCGGCCAGGAGCATCTTCCAGCCCCACATCCTGCACCCAGAGTGGTGGGTGCTGGTCCTGCCCCACAGTCCTGCCTCAGTGGGGCAGTGAGGGGCTGGGGCACCTCGGCACCCCAGGGCAGAGGAGGACTGCGCACCCTCTGCCCAAAAAAGGGGCAGTGCCTGTGCACCCATGGGAGCGGGGATGCTGTTGCCCCCAGCCCGGCCAGGAGCATCTTCCAGCCCCACATCCTGCACCCAGAGTGGTGGGTGCTGGTCCTGCCCCACAGTCCTGCCTCAGTGGGGCAGTGAGGGGCTGGGGCACCTCGGCACCCCAGGGCAGAGGAGGACTGCGCACCCTCTGCCCAAAAAAGGGGCAGTGCCTGTGCACCCATGGGAGCGGGGATGCTGTTGCCCACCCTGTCTACTTGACACCCCCTTCCCAACCACTCCCACCCCCCTGGGGGCCTGGTGGGCCAGGCCTGCTGGTCCTGCAGACCCCCTCCTCCTCTTCTTCTTCATCCTCTTCATCCTCCTCCCAAGCACGTGTGGCACCACAGCCCTAGGGTCCTGCGTGCCCGCCAGGGCTGTCCTTGCTGGCCGGTGGCACGGCTGAGGGGTCCACATCCCCGGGGGGTCCCTGAGACTCGGGGCTTG